CTTCCAAGCGAAAGACTCCTGAGAGGGCTCTAATCCAACTGGGAGGCAACCCATACTAGTGGCCGCTGAAAGAGGTAATCAGAGGTTCCCGGACAACACCCCTGGTGTCAGTAATTAATTGTTCCGCGGCTGCGGTACGAGCTACCAGCAGCTGGTGGCAACACCCTGTGCTTTGCTAGGCGAACTAGGCTGCTGTCTGGGCCCCCCACGTGGCTCAAGACGTTGCCCTCGGGGTTGCGCTCCTTCCAGCTTTCGTAGAACTTCCCGAACTCCACGCGATCCACCCATCGAAGGGCCTTGGTCTCGTTGTTCAAGATGATTGGCATGGGGAGCAAATGGTTCAAAACGGCTCGGCGAGTGATCTCGGCGTAGTGCCGGAAGGCTTCCTCGGAATGGGCATGGGCATCGCTCCGGTAGAACTTGTCTGCGAAGGCAGCACCATGCTTGTTCGTGAACCGCACCAGCTCGACATGGAGCTTCTGACGGCTCTTGATATGAGCGTGCAGCTGGGAGGTCGAAGATCCCTGCATCAGCGCCATGGAGTGACGGTGCGACGCCAGGTGGATGTCCAGAAAGTTGGTGTGGTCGCAGCCAAGCACGTTGCAGACTGGATGCCAAGCTTCCTCCAGGCGATTTACCGTGTGATCCAATGACGCGTTCGCAGTGTGCTCCGCCAGGATTTGGTGTGTGGAGCGGGTGGCATGGTGCATGGCCAAAGACACCGCCGAGGTCTGCGACGCATCACTCTGGAGCAAAGAGGCAGAATGATCATTGGAATGATCGTTCTCATCGCACACGAACTCTCTCGGAATGTCAAAGTCTGCACCGATCTCGGTTGGGTCCTCCGATCCAAGACCATACTTGATGGCTTCCCAGACGATCGTGTCGAAGCGCGTCACCTGCTCCTGAATGGAAGCATACGCTTCCGCTGGCATGTATTTGGGAACGTCACGAGAGACCAGGCACACGGCAATATCAATGCAACTCGGGATGTATATCTCTGCATGGAATGGGCAGTAGCGTGAGGCGTTCTCACCCAGGACCTCGTGAAGGACCTCATAGAACCCCTGGACCTTGTCATAGAGCATCAAGAGGTCCTGATGAGGATCCACACCAAAGTAATAAGTGAGGTTCGCGTTGTGGGGTCTGTCTCTAGAGTTGATCAAGCCGGAGTAGTTTGACAGGTTGGTCATAACCAGAGACAAGGCCATCGATAAGTCTGCATGCGGCCCATACTCTTTGATCGGGTCAGGCCCTTCCGAAGCGATGTCCAGATCAGTCCACTCCTGATCACTGGTGGGGTCGCCCTTGAACTTGTATGAGGTGCCTATATGGCAAGCCAGGCATAGCAGCACCGGCAGCAATTGCTTCATTATAGAATCTTAGATGGTGCGCATAGGGCGCGACAGATGTGGCTGAGCCTGGCGGCTGGTGGCGCTGGGGGCAAGCGAAGTTTCTGGTACGGAGTACAAAGACTCTGTCAGGATTTCCATCCTCTTTCAGCTACTCTTTAGAGGCAGACTGATCTGATACATCCTGCAAAGAAAAACTCTCCTGCATCGACACCCTCGTGACTTTCAAACTTCGTCTCAGCTTGCTGCTCTGGAGAACTCGCTCCACTTTGCGAAGCCGAGCTGGCAACCTCCACAGCTTGTCCCCCGACTTCAACGAGGCGCAGCTGAAGCATGGATCCGGGTCCTGGCACGGGTTGGACTCTAGATGCTGGTAAAAAAGCGAGCAAAGAAGCCTTCTTCCCCAGCTGAGAATGCAAGTGCCCCCTGCTTCCTAAGTCATGCTTGCTGCTTCTTTTTTCCTTGGTTGGTATACGGAGAGACGCATGTCATTGACCTTGTCTACCTTGAGGCTTACACTTCTAGCCTGACGTCTTAACCTTGGCGGGTGAAAGGGGTATACCATGACCAAAGGCATCACGCTAATCGTCAGGAGACATGCAGTGGAGACTAAGCAGTCGTGAAATTCAAGGAAATGTTTGGCTTTTCGTCGGACATCAACATCATGAAGTCAAACCGCACCAAGTCCAAGAGCTACAACTTAAAAACTCGGTAACACATGATGCCAACAAAAGAAAACTGAAAAGAAACAGATTGAAAACTGTGGTGGTCCCCTGTAATTAGAACAGGACGTGCCCTGGAATATGAACCACCAGGACTCCACTTTCATGCCCCAATCGAGTTGGCGACCTCTACAGCTTGTGCGGCGAATTGGCAGACCCCAATGATGTCGTAGAAAGATGACTGTCATAAGTTGACTGGAGCCCCCAGCCAGTGATAGTGACCATACGGGCCAATCGTGCTGATGTTGGGGTCCTCTTATATTCCTACTTACCACCATTACAGGGTTGGAGGGGGTCCACGTAAGTCATAAGCTGCACCACAGAAGAGACTTGGGCCTGCGCGCTTGACGCTGCTTTTCGAAATGCCTCTGGATCACATGTAGGGGATCTGTAGTCATCCCTTTAAGCAAATATTCAATTCCGGCATCGGGGAAGTTTGTGAGGAATCCACGACAGCACGCAAGGGGAGCCAAGCAAAACCTTCGAGGAGCCCTTGCTCTAGCTTTCTGTTTCCTGTACGGAGTATAGGGTTTAGGGTTTAGGGTTTTGGAGTTTTTGAACTTTTGCAGAATTTGTTTCTTCAGTCTCCTCCCTCTCTTGACGACTCTACATGTGCTTGCAGCACAAAAAGCACCAACAACTTAGAGCAGGCTCTTGGGGAAGCATGGTTTTTGAGCTGCCTACATTCGATTGGACCTTGTCGAAGCCTGAATTCCAGTGACTCCGGAAAATTTTACAGGTGCCCCTGGACCCTAAATCTCGCTACTACTGCGGTAGCCATGTGCTTTTTTCATAGTGCATGAAAAAAGAGCTCGTAACTTGGAAAGGTCCCAGGATTAGAGCCCGCACTGCGCTCCAAATGGCTGTTTCCTAAATTCCTAAACCTTCGAAGAGTCTACAGTCCTCAAACACTACGCAACTGTCTGAAGCCCGCACTCAACCGCCCTAAACCTGTAGAGCAGCCCACCCCAAACCCTAAACCTTTTGGGTCTTGTAGCATTGCAGGGCCTCGAGGGGTAGAATCCAATCCGTACCCTGCTGCCTGGCCATGAACAAGGCCATGCTTTACTGCAGAGTGGGGGAGTGGAAGCAAAGGGAAGCTACTATAGGGCTGGGGTCTACGATGCTTGAAGGACAGTTGAAAAGATAATGGACATATGGTCTAAGGTTCAGATGCATCAGTGCAAGTGGTCGCGTGAATACAAGGCTCTTGAAGGGGTCATGTGAGCTACAGCCAATATGTCCCCAGATACTTAATGCACATGGGCCATGGGTTCCGCAGTAGACTACAATGGGGACTATAGTAAACTATCAGAGGGACCCCTGAATAGAGCTCACATTGACAGTGGCTCATGTGAGCTATAGTCTCTATAAACTCTTTGTATGACCCTTCTTGCCCCCTATTATACTCCCCTATATAATCCCCCTTAAAGGAGTTTAGACTAAGCTCATGTAGGGATTCTTGTAGGGATGCACTCCCCCCCACTCACCCTTAAAAACCTATAGATTTACGATGTGGGTTTCTCACAGAAAAAGTAGGCTCCTCTAAGACTCCAAAAATGTATGGTAATTTCCCTAAATAAGGGAACCTCAACATAGACCCCCAAATGCTATAGTTCTTATTTGGTGGTTCCCTAAAAATGTACCCCCCCAATTTAGGGAAACCTCCATATAGGGAGTACCCAATAGGTTGTGAGGGCCCACCTTGGGGATCATGCAGGGCTTGTTTGGAGAACCCCTGTGTAGAGCTTCAAGTACGGGGATTCAAGGCTTAGGTTTTATGGTGAGTTCCCAACAGACGCATTCAAGGTTGAGCTTACTTGCGGGTATTTAGGGCTGAGTGAAGGGGAACCTCAGATTTTAGAGTGAAGGGCTTGCAGCTGAAGTTTTAGGGCTGCCGGATGTGTGGTTTCCGGGTTTGGACTTCGGGCCTTTGGTTTTTGGACGTGGGGTTCAAACTCTGAAAGGGGCTTAGATTTAGGACTTGCGAATTGGAGTGTAGCATTTGGGGCCTAGGTTTCAGGACTTGCGGCTTTGTGTTTGGGATGTATGGGCCTGATGTTTGGATTTTGGGGCCTAGAATTGGGATTCCTGGTATGGTATTTAACATGCTGCGGCCAGGTTTCTGAGGCTCAAATTTCAGGATTGGGTTTACAGCTGCCGCGTCAAGCTTAGGCATGACGTCTCATTTTTAAAGCAAGGAGCAACGAAGCTTTAAACTTGAAACCCCATATCCCAACACCTAACTCCGGAATCCAAACCCCTGGATCAGATAGCACGTTTCGTCGGGCGAGCTTAAGCTCTAAACGCTAGACGAAACAGTTACGCTTGCGCCTTGCACTTCCGCAGCGGAGTGCGATGCCATGACCTCATGAGGATTTCCATCTACCGTAGGAGCCTCGACAATAAGAAGTGGGAATATACCGTACAGGGGTTACATAAAGGTGTGTGGGGGGGGGACGTATGCACATTATACACTTTAAAGCTCAGAATTTCTCCGAATTGGGTTAGGGTATGTTCAAGCACTTCTAGAGAAGGTCTAGACGTGGATAATCTTCAGATTGTTCCGGCCTAACTTAAAACCTGCTTGTCGAGCGGAGTGTCGAACATGAAAGATGAAACCTTGCAAAACTTTAAGAGATAATCTGGTAGCTTTCATGTCTTTTCTGAGACCACTCTATTCTGGGTCGTTGCTCAGGAACTTACATTTCTTATTGGGGAAATCATACTAGTTACTTTGTATACCCATTATGGTAACTTAATGTAAGTTCCTTAACAGCAACCCTGTATGTGGGAAAGCCCGAACAGCTATGATGTGGAAGCCATCGAGCTTTCAAGTACAACACATGTTCTTGCTACAGTTAATCAGCCAATGAAAGATACGTACTTGGTTCTTAGTGGGGAATAAGGGAATATAATCCCTCTATAGCCCCTTTATATTATAATCCCTTATCCACCCAAAAAATAACAATGGTGTTCACATTTGTTCAGGCTTCTACCTGACCTTCAAGTCCATTACATCCTAGTTTAGGGTTTAGGGTCTCAGAAAGGCCTTTCTAGATACTCCCAGAAGTCTGGAATCTCCTTGTGATCCAGGCATGAGCACCGCTGTTTCGAGAAATTCCAATCCAAGACACAACAGAACAAATGTCAGCGCAAGTACGGCCTCAGGATCCGGTTGCTCTACAAGGTTTATTTGGCAAACATCGAATCCTAAGCCTTGTTTCCTGAGGTCAGTGCTTGACGAGGCTACCGGCGTGGCCGCCGCCGCAGCCTCATGCAAAGGTTCATGCGCTAGCTGGCTCATACACAAGGCAACTCACAGAATTCCCCAATTTTCGGGAACGCAACGGAAATCTTAAAGAATTTGCAGGTTGACCAAAAACGTGCCACGATGAAAACTCTGGTATATGGGGACACGCTTATCAAGAGTACAAGCCTGAACTCGGCCTGAAGCATGATGAAATTCGCACTCTACGGCGTAGGGTTGAACATGTTGCGTTCGTGGCGGTGATTGTTTCGTAGCTTTCATTCATCAAACGATATGCTGCTAGGGTGGAATGTTGCATCAGGGCATCTGGGCTGACATGGCCCTCAGACAAAAGGCCTGAAAGGCGTGAGATTCAGAGTTTTAGCTTAGTCTAAGACATTTTCCAACTTTTAAGCACCGGAGGCGGCGGCAAACCTTTGATTGGGGTCTAACAAGCTCATTAATTGGCGCACTATTGCTTTAAGGTTAGCAGAAGATTGTCAGGGGCACATGGTTCTTACCAATGTTAAGCAATATCATACGTATTGCCAATTATCTCATGTCCAGAGCTTCAATTCCTGCAAATTTAAGGCAAGATTGCATGCGCGCAACCTTCAGTAAACAATTATCTGCCGAAGACGCAGAAGCAGAAAAAAGGATATACACATTGCAGCGGACAAGGCTAAGGTGATTTTATCCGTGGCCTCCAGCACAGGATGGATGCAAGCAGTACAATGTGAGCTGGAGATTCAGTTTCTATGCAGCTTGTGCATATCCACGGTGTACTCAGGGTAGTCGTACTCATCGTAGTACAACCGGTGCATCTCAAGCCGAAGTGCGAACTGCTGTGGTGCCACATCATGATGACATCCTGTTGTATATGTCGCAAGTAGCCTTGGGACCCGTAACGAACTGGTAGTGGCCAACATGCTAGTACAGAGGAGTTCAGAGTTGACCAAAGCGTGGATCATTTGATTGTGCCTTGTACATCTATGCATATACACGCAACCTAGTGTCTGCGGGTTTTAGGGTTTACGATGTGGGGTTTG